GGACTTTACCTTTTCCCCCTTTACTCTAATAATTAAGAGTTGATTCTGTAACTTTCATAGAAATCATCTGTGTTGGAAATTTGCCTGAAGGAATAGTAAGCTTATAGTAATTAATTATTGATAGTAGATTACTTTATTCCCTAGCTCACTCATACCCATGGCTGTCCACACAGTTTTTTTTCCATCTCCAACCTTATGGAAGAAAAATGACAATACTATACTAATCACTAATTTTTACAGTAATTTATAACTTATATAATCCCTATTTGTAGAAAGGTATCTTTCTAAAAATAGTAAATCAACTAAGGTCGATGTGAACATCTTATTGAGGCAATTGTGCAGGCTTAAAGATTTTGGTAAAAGTAGTTGCATGATATAAAATGTAGAAATAGAGTAAGGCATATGTGGCTTGTTCCTGTGTATATTAAGATCTAATATTAACAATAAATATGGCTCAGCTTAATTACAATGTGGTAGGTCACAGATTGTGCTCACTTCCTTTAATTACGTCATAATTTAGTCAACTAGATAATCAGAAAATGTTCTTACTATTGACATCTAGGAATTATAGAAATCATTTTACATACATAGATGAGCAAAAAATAAGAGGGCTCTGGCATTTGAAAAAAGAAACAAAACATATGTATAGAAAGCTCCTGAGGTAATGTGATGATAGTTGTCCTGGTAGGAGTTTGTTGGGCTTGGAAATCTGAATTCTTGGGTTTAACTTCTACATAAAGAAAAAACTTTGTGGCTTTACAAAGTGGGAAAGTGGAACTGAAATGATTACATGCAGCCAGAAGTCTTGGATACCTACATCCTTAATGAAAGTTTGATCTGGTGAAAGCTTTGAAAACAAGCACAGGTTGTCAACAGGAAGCATTCTTTCTGTCTCAGCCATGAACCCATGTTAGGAAAAAACTAATGGCTCCTCTGGGCATTCTTTATCATGAATATGATCTAACATTGAAGCTCTTAGTGAAAGCACATGCAGAATTGCTCTGAATGGGCCCTCTTTCAGCTTTCACCACACACAGCAACCACCAATGAAGTACAACTAAATGAGTTCACAGCAGAATTCCAAAACATGAAATGACGTAAGAGCAAAGAGTCATGGAAAAGAGTATTTTAAAAGGCTGACAGGGATTATAAAAGAGCATGTTCATTTGATTAAAAACACAGAAAATTGAAAATATGAGAAAAATGTATTTTGGAAGAAAGAAGAGATGATTTGAAAATTGAGGAAAATAAAGCATCTTAAAAATGTACTTAAAAATCTTTTTCTGAGTTGAAGAGCAGAGTAGATTCAGCTAAAGAGAGCCCTAATGGACTGGGTGACAGGTCCGAGGGATTCACCCAGAAGGCTGCTTAGAGTGGTGAAGGGATGGAAGTACAAGAGTGCTTGAGCGTTACAGACAGAATGAGAAGAGCAAACGTGCACCTAAAGGAACCAAAAGAAGAGAGTGGAGAGCATGTGAGAGCAGTTAGCTAAAAAGATAATGGTAAGAATGCGTGTCTGTGCGTCTTCAAATTGAAAGATACACCAAATAACCAAGAAGATAGATGAAAACAAACTCAGTACCTGGACACATCTTGGTGGGACTGCAGAACTACAAAGACAAAAAGAAATCTTAAAATTAAACATACACTATGTTGTTATATGTCAATTATATTTCAGTAAAAAATCAGACACCAAATGAAAAAAAGAGCAAGGTCATTGCAGACTTCTAATTTATCTTTATAAATGCTAGACTAAAAGAAAATAATATCTTCACTATGCTGAGGGCCAATAAAGTCAACTTGAAATTCTGCACTTAGCTACTGCTCTGTCATGAATAAGTGCAAACGAATGAGAATTTAGGAAACGTTGTCCAGGACAATTTGGTATCCACAGATCCTTGCTGAAGGAGAAAAAGAAAATCAATCTCTCTAGAAAGTAAAGACATAAGATACTACTGAGAAAAGAAATTGCTAAATATATAGGCAAATCTAAGTAAGTGCTAATAGTTTAGAAAAAAAGTATCTAACTTGAGATTTTAAAAATTGAGGTGGAATTCCAAGAATGCTTTGGAGATACTACACGTTCAGTCCCAGACCACTGTTGTAAAGCAGGTGTTGCACTAAAGGGAGTCACAAGTTTTTTGGTTTCCCAGTGTGTATAAGAGTTGTTTCACTATACTACATCTATTAAATGTGCAATAGCATTACGTCTAAAAAACAATTTACATACCTTAATTAAAAAATACTTTATTGCTAAAGAATGTTAACAATCATGGGAGCCTTCAGTGAGTCATAGTAGTAACATCAAAGATCGCTGATCACAGATCATCGTAACAAATACAATAATAGTAATAAATTTGGAAATATTGTGAGAATTGCCAAAATGTGACACACAGACATGAAATGAGCAGTGTTAGAAAAATGGCACTGACAGACTTGCTCGATGCAGGGTTGCTGCAAATCTTCAATTTGTAAAAAAAAAATGCAGTATCTGCTAAGCACAGGAAAGCAAAGCACAATAAAACGAGATATGCCTGTATAATGTCAAATAAAAATAGCATGAAAGATGGAAGGAAGAGATTACATTAAAAGTGTTTGATGTCCTTGCCTTTTTCAGGAGACCTCAGGTACTTTCTAGCTTTAGGCATTTTATGTGAATGTGGTGGGCAGAATAATGTCCATGTTCTAATGTGCAGAACCTGCGACTTTTATTTTATACAGCAGAAGAGACTGCAGATGTGATTATGTTGAGGAGTATTGTGATAGGGAGATTATCCTGAATTAACTCGGGGAGCCCAATGTAATCACAGGATATAGAGGAAGGAGGAGGCAAGAGAGTCAGGAGATGTTGTGATAGAAGCAAGGGTCAAAGTGATGCAGTTGTCAGCTTTGAAGATGGAAAGAGACCATGGGTCAAGAAATCCAGGCAACCTCTAGAAGCTGGAAAAGGCAAGGCAATGGATTCTTATCCAGAGCTTCCAGAAGGTACATAGTCCTACTGACACCTTGCCATCAGCCCAGTGAATTCTATTTCAGACTTCTGACTGGAGGACTGTAAGATGTCTTAAGCCACTAAATTGATGGAATTTGTTACAGCAGCAATAGGAAACTAGTACAGTGTACTTTCAAATGTAGAAATAACTGTAAATCAAACAATCTGATGTGATTTTTCAAAGTAGTAGCAGAAAAAAAGCAGAAAATAAAACTACAGGAAGAAAGAGAAAAACAGAAGAGAAGGACAGATAATATAGCTTGGGAAATAGAAACCACAAATAATAGGAAAATTCAAATATGTTTGTAATAAAATATTAAAATCTCTTATAGGGATATTATATAACTAGGTTTTACAGTTTTAACCATATGCTATTTATAAGAGAATTAGAGAAAATGAAAGTTGAAAGTAGAACAAAGGAAAAAGATACGCCAAGCAAATATTAATGGTATTACTAACACATTAATATTTGTTAATATTAGATACAATCGCTGTTAATGCAGAAGGCGTTCAAAGGGATGAGTAGGGCCTTTACACAATCATAAAAACATTAATTCTAAACAAGTTATAAAGATTTTGAGCGATAATTTAGCTTCAGCCAAAACAAAGCAAAAATTAGCAGAATCACAAGAAAACATCAACAAATTTATAACCACAGTGGAATTTTAACAACTCTTCCTCAGTAACAGATGGAAAAATAAAATCAAAATGTCTCATTCTATTGAGCAGTTTTGTCTCAGAGCTTGTTATAGCTAGATCCAATGAAACGTATAGCTCTGCTCCGAACTGTTAGAAAGTACACATTTTAAGCATGCACGCAACATTTGCCAAACTCTGCATATAGTCACAGATGCTGCTGGATGAGCCAAGAAAATGTGAATTGAAAAGTAACCATTACAATTGTCAATGTAGATGTTATTGGGGAAATTGAAAGGAATGTTACACTTATTTTTTAAAGTTATTTTTCATCGACGAATGACATTCAGTTGGCCATAATAGGAGAACAAACTTTTTTCCTACCCTTTCTCCCTCAAACACACACAAAGACAAATTGCAGTATTTCTTGTAACAGAAAAAATTTTATAGAAGCTAAATTCTCATCAATAGGAAATTGCAATTATGGTACAGAAACAGAAGTGACAGCACTGATGACAAAAACATCAGTAACTGACTTGAGAACTTTTTTTGTACCTGGCATTGTTTTAAATGCCTTCTGTGTATTAACTCATTCAGACCACACAGTAAACCTATGTTTTAAATGTTTTAAACATGTTAAATCACCTAACCTGTATGGTAAGTTTGTGTGGTGGATAGATATCATTGTTACCTCTATTTTTTAGGTGGGGTGACTGAGGCACAAGAAGGTGAAATAAGTTGCCTAAGGTCAACTTACTGGCAAAAAGCAAATGAAAAGGTTTGCTTCCATATAGTTTGCCTTCAAAGCTCATTACTATTTAGAGAAGGCTTTCCGAGATATAACAGTCAGATAAAGAGAAGATTATTGAATTTTATTCATGGTGAGATCCCATGCATCTAAAAATACTAACTTTCTTATGCCTTTATTAATATGATTATCAGTCTTTAAATTTTTGCCAGTCTTATATAAAATATTGTATTGTTTTGAATTGTACTTCTTACATTTAAATCATCAATATGGAAATTATTTTTGTATCATGTGAAGTAGAGATTTTGTAGTATTGTTCAAACAGGAAGCCATGTCCCTACACCAGATTTTTTTTTATAATAAATGAAATTCTGTAAAATTCAAAACAAGAGTGGATTTTTAAAAAAATATTGTCTGTGAAATAGGACAAAATATTTCAGGATTATATCAGGTAAAAATGGATCATTCTTACATTTTCTTAGAATTAAAAATTAATCTTATTTCTGGTTGTATTAAATTCTTGGAGATAAAGCATGTTGTTCAATTATCCATGTAACTACAAAAAATGAGTCACATATTCCCTATTTTTTGTGGAACACACATTATTTTCTGTTTTCTTTCTAGGAAAGATTTCTGTGTACACAAAGATGAACCGTGTGATACTGTTGGTAAGTGTATGTAAACATTTTTACACTGGAGATGTTCTATATTTGTTTAAACAAAGACAGTTATTTGAGAGTGCTACTTTCAATTAAGTATTTTTAGAATGTCAGAAATAGATATTTTCAACCTGTATGTTTAATCATTTGTCAATACTTCAGTTATTAAGCTTGAAGACGTATGTGCACTATATATTAGAGAACAGTTTAAGCGATAGTTTAAGAACATCATGACTTCTTTTTTATTTTCCCCTACATGTACACATGGATTCTATAAAATTTTTTTATTATTGATAAACTGAGGCAAAAATATGTTAATATCAGTAAGATTGACCTTTTTCAGGCTAATGGATTTGTTTTTGAGTTAGGTGCATTTGACATTCTCTGAGATTATGTGAAAGTTCATCTGATTTGCCCAGCTAATGAGGATTTTCTGTACATAAAATAGCAAATTTTCTATATTTTGTCCTAAAATAACTAAAATCACTACAACGCACCATATAGCCAATAGAGTCCATGAAACCACAGTTCTTAATTTTGAGAGACTGGGCATATATATGCTAATATAAATGCATGTATATAAATTTACCTGTCTAAACATAGATAAAAATATAGATAGATAAAATTATGTGATTATATATGTATAGTTTTAAGTCATGTAGCAGTATATAATAAGGTAATATTGGATTATTGGTAAAGTATATTTAAGAGTCATGATCTGGTATTGACACATCACGTGGGGTTTATTTCCATAGGGTAATGAGTATTTTAAGTTCACCATGTTTGAGGTGTCATTTATTCTTTGGGAGGTGAACATTTTAAAAAAGGGGACAAAACACAATAAAGGCTTATGGGTATTCAAAAAAATAATTCTAACTAGTTGTATTAACATAAGTTCTCACCAACCTGCTCCGATGATTCAGTTGCTCAGACTGCTGAGATAGTAAGTGGAAAACTGTTACAATAGCATGAAGCAGATGATGATGGAGTCAAAGGAATGTTTGGCTCAGAAGGGAACGTCAGCATAGGAGGAGCTGGACGCCTGCGGAAAAGCTGAATTGATTTAGGGATGATCTTCCTGGTGTTACTAACTTACCTGCTTCCTGAAGTTTTCTTTCCTTTTTGCCTGAATCTCCCAAATTAAATCTTGATACATGGTTTTAATCAACATGACCATGGAAGCATCTGATTACCAATAAAGCTTGTCTCAAAATAATTACGTTTTCCTCTACTTAAACAGCTGTGTTGCTCCAAAGCCTTCTTTTAATACAGACAGATCAACCTCTTGCATTTTAGAGCATCTGAGAGAAATCTTAATCAACTCGGGCGGTATCTTCCATAATTACGGGCACTAACCACCTCTCTCTAGCCTGGGTGCATGCGTATAGTGTGTGCTGTTCAGCAGGAAATCGGTGTCATCAGTCCTCAGCTCTATTCGTCTTGTCCATTAAGAGCTGGATAAAAATTGGTTTTAAATATTACAGCATAGCAGGTGGAAAGTCCAGTGCCCTTCCTGGGATCTCTCTGGGTTTCCGAGTGCTTAGATTCTCACGGTTTCCTCTGACGTCACCAAATCCTAGTTTTCCCCTCTGTATTTTACGGGATATCTTTTTCTCATCCCAAATATGTGACAAGGGTCTTTTTTTTTCATATTTAGTCTTGAGCAGAGTAAAAATCTGAAATAATTTGTTCAGGGGACATCACATGGAAACCGCTAAGAACCAAGGCAGAAGAGTAGTCTCCTCACCCCAGTCCCTGTCCCCACAACAGCAGCAACAAAAGCTTCTTGTCACACTCACCGTGCTTAGTGCCTGGAGACAGACGCGCTGGCGAGACTGATAAGGACGTGCGTGGGAGAAATAGGCGTCAGTCACGCATCCACCGCTGTGCAGCTGCGATGCCAGGGAGACAAGGATTCTCCTTTTTGGATGGTTCATGACTCGTGCGGGCTTATCTAGGGGATCATTTCAGGATCTCAGACCTAAACCAGTCAGCATATGGCATTGTCATGGTTAGGACATGTGGCCTGTGACCTGTGTCTGCCTCATGAAAGTGAGGAAAAGAACATTTTGCATGGTTGAAGTTTGCTCATATCTGTCTCCACTGCATATAAACAAGGGAAGGATTCAACTCTGCTCACTATAATCACACAGAAAACTGGCCTTGGGATGAATCTGGCCTCGTACACTGCAGAATGGAGAGATGGAGAGGTGCCTTTCTCCTCAGTGACATTGTTGATTCACTGCATCCTTCAACCTGGGACCCAGTCTAACCTCTGGGCTTCTGAATGTGGAAGCCAGTAAATATCCTTACATGTCAACCAATGTAAGGTTTTTATTTCTGTAACTTGCAGCATTAAGGCATAGATCTTTCCTGATACTTGTAGTCTAATGTATACGAAAAGAAGAATATGGGGCAATATTAATAATTTCCACTCTCTAAGAGGGTGCTGCCAAACTACTCTGTGGTTTGTCCCCAAATTAAATAAATGTGTGTAGCCTACTGATCGTCTTCATAGCTCTCAAGCTCTAGCGTAACAAAACAAAAGAGACTTAGGGCATAAATCAATAAAATGTCTGTTGACAGACATTTTCAAACCTCCTCATGTGATATTATGGGTTGTATTTTTGTCAGATGTTTTTCTTAAATCCAGATATACCTTCTTTGTTCTCTTAACTGCCACTGATACATTTCATATTGGCTACTATAATGAAAATACTGAAAGAGAGGAAGGAGAAAGGAAAGAAGTGGATTTAGTATGTATTAGTTTGGATAATATGGGCCTGAATGATAACTTTACCGTGACAGTTTCCCCTACTCTGCTAGGTATAATGAGAGGGGAAAGACAGCAGTGAAAAGCTTTCAATTGATATTAGTAACTTGAATTATAAATGAAGAGAAATGCCTACATTTTAAAAGCAATGGTAAGTAAGTCTTATACTTTGCATAGTGATTTGAGTCAGCCTTTCATGGACAGTTTCTCATTTGATTTCTTCATAACCTGAACTCTTTTTGTTATCATTACTACTTTACAGATGAAGAAAACTCTGAGAGAGAACAGAGCATGACTTCTGAAGTCACATCTAGATTTAAATCACTGCTCTGCTGTTTTTTA